TGTGTGTGTGTGTGTGTGTGTGTGTGTGTGTACACTTACATGGTTCTCTGCTGTATTTGTGCGTGGTGGGGAGGTGGGCCTGACGCTCCAACAGGAGGTCTGAGAGAGAGAGAGGACGACAAAGACCGAGATGAAACGAGTTGTTACAGAGACATTGTTTTAATGTATTCACCCGAATCAAAGATACGTTTTCATTGATTTTCAGTTTTCTGAGAAACTACACGACACAGTGTGTCTGAATCAGCCTCCCTCTCTTTGACCTCGATACTGAAAATACACACGTTCCTTTTTAAAGATGTATTTTTGCATTTTTTATCTGCGACGATCGGACAGTTTGAGTGTGAAAGGTGGGGGGGGGGCGGCACGCAGCAAGAAATTCAGACGTTTACCTCTGTCGTTGGGAGCTGCCAGCTGGGCGGAGTCATCTGTGATTGGCAGATTCTGAGCTCCACTGCTTCTACCTGGAGGAGGAGACGTTTGAGAACATAAGAGATTAAAAGTTTTCCTCCTGAAAAGAGAAATGAGTCTCACACACCAGGCATGCCTGCACATTACCCAACATGCATTTCAACACTTGCTTGAAGCATCATAGAGCAAAAGTTTAGGAAACTACATGTTTGTTGATGTGAAAATGAAAATTGATTCTAATTTTATTATGTGACCAGTCTGAACTAACTGACCTCCCTTCTTCACAGCACACATCTGTATCTACACAGCAGCTGTGCTGACGGCAGGTTGTCTCACTGACCTTCATCGGTTTTCTTCTTCACTGGTGGATGAGATGATGAAGCTTCTGCCTTCCTCTTCCTCTCCTCCTCCTCCTCTTCCTCCTCCTCAGTTTCTTCCTTCTCTTCCTGCTCTTCCTTCTTCTCCCCCTCTTCATCTCTTTCTCCCCCATCCACGTCCTCTTCGTCCTGCTCCTCCTGCTCCTCCTCGCTCTCTCCTTCCTCCCATCCCTCACTTCCCACTGCACTCTTCTCAGATTTGGACTTCTGTTCCCACAGACAAAAAAGAATTAGAATCAGACAGAGCTGTGACGTGTGCCGCCAATGAGATGGGGGACCAATGAGAGATGAGTATTTCTTACTTCCTGGAAGGGTTTGACCTTGGTGGGCTTCACAGTCAGAACCACACCATCATAGAAACGCACTGTGTACGAGTCTGACAAAACAAACACACACACACACCATGTCAAAAATGTTTCAATCACACAGATTCGTTTTGGTTTTTTTGCCGTATGACCGATCGATAAATGATGTCAGAGTCTCACCATCCTTGTTGACCCTGAGGATTTTGGCCGGGTAGAAACGACAGTCTGTCCAACAGGCCAGAACCTTCGTTCCTGAGACAAACATCTGAGACAGAGATAAATTCAACTAAATATGAAATAAAAAGTCAGTAAAAACTTTCAGTTAACATATCAGGCTGAACTGTGTCCACGTCATGATGTACGTACAAAACTAAATATAAGAAGCGTCGTACCGGTTGAGAGAGTGGTGGATTGAGGCCCAGCCTCCTCAGACTGACTCGCTCCAGCGGCCGCAGGTACTGTGAGTTCCAATGAAACCATTCGTCATGGCGACGGCTCCACTGACGGTAGTGGATCAGGATCCGCTCTTCATCAAAGTCGATCTTTTCAATCGTCGCTGGGTACCTGAGACGCACAGAGCCCGATGTCAGTGTGTGTGTGAGTGAGTCGTTACAGATAAACTGTGAGAACTGAACATGGTTTTCAGTTTTAGTTTAAATATTCAGACCAGTTCTTGTGTCGATCTCGGGCTTCAAGCAGCGCTCCGACCTCGAAAGTGATTCCTGACCTGTCCGGAGGTGTCTTCATCTGCAGAGACAGAGAAACAAAATGAATCTCTCACTGGGAAAAGATTTTATTATAAATCGAATTACTGTTGCCAGGTTCGAATCCCAGTTCAGCCAGAGTCTAAGTGAAGTCTGTCTGGGTTTCACCCCCCCCCCCCAGTCCAGACACATGCCGGGGTTAGATCAACGTGACTCTCTTCATTTACTGTGGTTGTTTGTCTGTGATTTGCTGGCTCCGTCAGGGTGAACCCTGCAGCTCCCCACAGCCTCAGAGGACGAGAGGTGAAGATGCTGAACAGATATTCTCTCACGTTTGTATTGTTTGTTTACTTGTTTATTACTTTTACTGATGCTTCTATTGGACATTTCCTCCCAGTGGGACTCAGACATGTCTCCATTATCTCCACACAGCTGCAGACTGTTGGACCATTAATGTCACGATGTCTATTGAAGACACAAGTCAACAGACGGAAACTGCAGGTTTGTGTCTGTAACAACATTAAAACCCACTGTTGTTGTTTCAGGCTACGTAACAGCAGCGTGATGACGACACACACGGACACGTCAGTGAGACACTAACTTTTAACTTTGGTTCTGAAACGTTTCTACTCATCTGGTTTGATTCTTTAAGAATTAATCAGACATTCAATCAAAACAAAACCTCTTGACTGTGTTCAGTCTGTGGGAGAAAGCTGATTGGCTCTCAGGCAGCAGATGACGCCTGTCCTGACTTCTCATTGGACGAGCCTTCTTTCAGTCAAGGAAAACAACCAACAGTCCCGCCCCTGGATAGCTGCTCGGCTATCTGACAGAAGCTAACATGCTAATGCTAACTGTGTTAGCTCCAAAGATCAGCGTCGCGCCAAACACAAACGCGCGTTTTTATTCGGTGACCACGACACGTTAGTGATTCTGCGCGTGCGCGGGAAGAGAGTGGAGCTCAGTATTCGTTCGTCCATCGTCTCACTGAGTGTGAACAGACGAGCTAACGATGCTAACAGCTAGCCTGAGCTGCAGAGTGACAGCTGCTGCAGGATGAAAGTTTCCTTCTGTCGCGGAGGTCGACTCACAGCTGCAGCGACAAAGCGACGGCGACTCACAGACAAACAGCTTTTACATCAGAGCTGCAGCGACAAAGCGACAAGAGACAGTTTTTACCTCTGAGGACACTTCAGCTTCCAGCTTCACGACTCATACTCACACTGCGCCTGCGCACAGCGACACGCTCAGCTGGAGTCTGATGCTTCACAAAACAATGTTCAGATGTTCTTCTTACAAAACTCTTTATTCAATGTGTTCTTCTTATTATTATTATTATAAAACTCTTTATTTAATGTGTTCTTCTTCTTCTTATTATTCTTACAAAACTCTTTATTTAATGTGTTCTTATTATTATTATTATTATAAAACTCTTTATTTAATGTTCTTCTTACAAAACTCTTTATTCAGTGTGTTCTTATTATAAAACTCTTTATTTAATGTGTTCTTCTTCTTATTATTATTATAAAACTCTTTATTTAATGTGATTCTTATAAAACTCTTTATTCAATGTGTTCTTATTATTATTATTATTATAAAACTCTTTATTTAATGTGATTCTTACAAAACTCTTTATTTAATGTGTTCTTCTTACAAAACTCTTTATTTAATGTGTTCTTATTATAAAACTCTTTATTTAATGTGATTCTTACAAAACTCTTTATTTAATGTTTTCTTCTTATTATTCTTTTACAAACTCTTTATTCAATTTGTTCTTCTTCTTCTTCTTCTTATAAAACTCTTTAGTTAATGAGTTCTTCTTCTTATAAAACTCTTTATTTAATATGTTCTTTTTATTATTCTTTTACAAACTCTTTATTCAATTTGTTCTTCTTCTTCTTCTTCTTATAAAACTCTTTATTTAATGTGTTCTTCTCATCATCTTCACATCATCGCTCCTCCAATAAGACTTGGCGTCACGAACAGGATCTGACACGACTAAACCTGAAAGTTATTCAAAATGAAAGGGGTTTGTATCTGCTGGCTGATAAATATAAAAACATACCAATGTCAAAGTTTATGTTTGATGATTTTTATTTTACAGAATAAACAAACCAGAAAAAACAACGTTTATATTTTAGACTGAAAAATACAAACGTTTAAATAAATGGAAGTTCTTTATAAATTTATAAATGTTAATATTAACGTTTATGTTTAATCTGTAAAATGTCTAACCTTCGTTACATTTCCCTTTCTCATAAGGGTTAAATAACGTTATATCTCATGTATAACCCAGTGAAGGAGATTGTTTTGTCACTGCACCACATACAAGTATGGTGAAAACAAAACATGTGACTGAAACACCTGTAAGGTTTTTAGAAAATAATCTGATTGGTTTCTGAAGAGGAGGCTGCTGATTGGCTCAGCTGAGCAGGTGAGGAGCCAATCGAGGGTCTTGTCTCAGTCTCTGGTCGGCAGCTTGGCACTTTAGAGGAGCTGCTTCCTGGTGCCTGGATCAAAGCCAAACATTAAAGATTAATAATCATCTTCATTTTATTCTGCGGAAACACTGATGATCTGTGTGTGTGCGTGTGTGTGTGTGTGTGTGTGTACATTTTGAGTCGTCTCTGGGCGACTCGTATGTCCAGGGTTTTCTCGGCGCAGTAGGTCTGATATTCTTCCTCCTGTTGTTCCGTCATGTTGAGCTGGTTCTGGTGGTACCACTGTTGTTTCCTCTGCAGCTCCTGCGTCGCCTGAACAGTTTCAAAAGTTCAACAACAGATGAAGCGTCTCTAAATCCTCAGGTTCATCACAGACTCGTCTGAGAACTTGTCTGAGTTCTGCTTCACAGATCTGTTGTTAAACTCTAGAACAGCCCTCATTTATCTATTTATTACTCACAGTGTTGACATTTGTACTTTGAGTCAGTATTTAAATTCTAATCTTTTCCAAGTTTTCTCTTGTTCTGTGAAGAGTCATTATGTTTTTTGGGGTTGTTTGTCTCATTTTGTGAACATTACACCTCAAGAACACCTTGAGGGAATTTCTTTAAATTTAGTTGGAACGAGTGGATGAACTGATTTGATTTTGGAGGTCAAAGGTCACCGTGACCCTTGACTGTCTCTTGCACGTCTTATTTCAAGAACATCTCAAGAGAATTCTGAAACTACCTGTGATCATCCTCAGATTAAACGATACGACACATTTCTCGATGTTCTCACGGAGGAAGGAAACTGCTGTTACACAACATGACTGGTGAACTTGTGTTGTACCTTCTGGTAGCGCTCCTGGATGAGGTTGGCCTCCTCCACCAGCCTCTGCTTGAGCTCAGACAGATACTCCTGGTGGAGCAGCTTGGCGTCCACAGCGCTCAGAGTGTCTGAGTGTATGTTGTGTCGCATGAGGAGCGGAGCCAGGATGTCCTTCTCCTTCTCCTGCAGCCACCTCTGCTCCTCCGCAGCCTGAAGCTCCTGCAACACAAGAGAAGATCAGGTGACTGTAGAGGTTCAGGTCTGAAAGAGGCTGGTTAAATATAAGGCAGGTTATAAGTAGGTTCACTTTTAGGTTAACTCACCATTTCCTGTCTCTTGGCTCGAGCACTGGCGGCTCCTGCTGTCGTCCAGGGAGAGACGAAGAGCTGAACGTTTCCCTCCTCCTCCTCTCTGCACGACACGATGTCTCTCACCTGCTCACAGGGAAAGATTTCGTTTGTCAGCTGATGTCAGAGTCTCAACGATCCCACAATCACTGAGTAACATGTTTCTGCTGAACGTGGAAACAAGAGAGCGCGAGAACATCTTCACCTCCTTCAGAGATTTTTCAATTTGATGAACGACCATCTCTTCATCCTTTATCAGAGAAACCAGCATCTCGTACAGAGCCCGAAGCCCGACAGTCTTCTCAGAGAGCCCCGTCTGAACACACAAGAACAAACACACAGTCAAATACGTGTGTGTGTGTGTGTGTGTGTGTGTGTGTGTGTGTGTGTGTGTCTGTGTGTGTGTGTGTGTGTGTGTCTGTGTGTGTGTCTGCACCATGAAGCTGGACACCATGTCCAGTCTGAAGACCTCGGCCTTCTCCTGCTCCGTCGCCTCTCGTGGTTTGATGAAGCTCCTCCTCGATGGGATGAAGCTGTCGTCGTCTAAGTGATACGTCACCTTGATCCGTCGCTGCGTCAACAGGAAGATGCGCTCTGCCACGTCCTCATTGGCTGGTTTGGAACGGTTCCTGTGGAACCGCTCCACCACCTGTTAGACAACACACGTCATTACACCTCCATCAACGCTGAAACTCAGAGTCACTTTAAACAAAACATCCATGCTCATTTGATTTGTTGACATTTCCACTTCCTGTTTACACAGTTGTACCTCTAGCAGGCGTGTGGCCGGGTCAGAGTTCACGTGTTCTGCTGAGAACTGGACGTGTCGGCAGAACACGACTCGTCTGTAGTAGAGGAAGTCGTGGCGGCGCTCAAAGGTCTCTGTCATTTCCCCCAGCGACAGCAGCCTGTGCACCAGATCGTCCTTATGTGCGAAGCTGAACTTCATCTCGTGCACGCCATCTGTGGTCAGGGACTCGTACCTGTGAACTGAACGGTTCAGGAAACAGGAAGTTAAATGAATTTCTTGCCCATTTTCACATCATTATATTTTAACCATCCAAGGTAGACTCCCCACGAGCCACGACATTGTGAAACGACGTTTGATTCCCCTGTGCCACAAGTCCGCATCACATCAAGTGTGTTTTATTTGCGATGTCGATGAGAACTAGTGCACTACCCAGAATCCTTAGGTGTAATCAACTTCTCTGACTGGTGGCGCTCGGTGTAAGTGAGTGTGTGAGGTGACGTGAGGTTTGAACGTTTACATAAGAGGTGGAAACGTCGTCCATGTTTGAATCGGTCTGTCGTCATGTTGTCGACCTTGTTGACCTCTCGCTCCTCCAGGTGGTCGGTTCTGTGTTGATACCACTCCTTCACCATGACGACCTCTGTGCCTGTAACACACACACACACACACACACACACACACACACACACACAGACACACACACAGAGGGTTACTAAGACGTCCTCTTCAGATATAAAAGTTCTGAAGTGTTACTTCAGTTTCTTGTGCCGGTCGCTCACAGTCCAAGTCTTTGTATGAAACCAGTCGTGTGATCAGCCCGTTCGGCCTCAGGTACAGACCAAACCTCTCCACCTCTGCTCTCCTGTAGCGAGTCAGCTTGTGTCCTCCCGGCCAGCAAGTCTCCAGGTCTGAGGAGGAGACGACAGGATGTAGCTTGAGGATGTTTCAGCATCATCTCGGAAATATTTCAGAGAGAGAGAGAGAGAGAGAACTAGAGCTTCATGTGAGGTCACTCTACCTTTTTTCGTGATGCTGAAGGCGCTGACCCAGGATCTCGGCATCACAAAAACCGGCTCCTCTGCCTCCTCCAGCTCCTCTGCCTCCTCCAGCTCCCACTTCTAAATTAGCAACGTTTCAGTGGTGATAAAATTATGTTTCAGTTTCAGTTCATGAATACACAATAACACAATAACACACACACGAACACACACACGAACACACACACCTTCACATCTTCAGTCTCATTCAAGGCGTCAAGAATCAGCTGTTTTCTGCTTATTGCTCCGAACAAGAGCGGCTCCCACATGTTTATGTCCTCCAGGTCAAACACCATATCCTGCACACACACACACACACACACAGAGACTGTAGTATAGTTGTTGGCTCAGGTTGCTGGTTCATCCTCCACAGTTGAAGTGTCTTTGAGCACTACACTGAATGTCTCCCAGCTGCTGCTGCGTCAGGATGAACGTGTGTTTCTCGCTCGAACTCACCCTGCAGCCGCTCCTGCAGTCCTGCATGTTGACGTAGTAGTTGAAATTGTTCCACACGCTCTCGATGCCCAGGAAGTCGTTGGTGTCGGTGCTGTAGCTGATGCCGGTCAGGGGGTCGATGAAGAAGTTCTCCTGGACGCTGCGACTTCCTGACAGCACCAGAACCCAGCAGTGCAGCCGCAGGCCCTGGAGAGGGTCGACGGGGCGCCGCTCGCTCTGCTGCTCGTGAGAGAAGAGTTTTATATCTGTGATAAACTTTTAAATCAATGAAGGACGATGGTCAGTTTATCACTGTTGGTGGAGGTGTACAACCACAGGACCGTGATTCTGGTTGTAACTAAAGCAGTGACTGACAGATTTCAACTTTAAACACTGAAGGACAAACTGTGGCTTTGATTCCACCTTGACACCAGTGAGACAACGATTTAATGATCATTTAAAGAAAAAAAGATTTCAGCTGCTCTGTTTCAGTTATTTTCATCTTTACGTTTCCTGCTCGACACTTTGTGTTTGTGTGAAACAATCCTGTCACCTCATCAAGTTTTTGTTTTTGAAGCAAGGCAGCTTCAGCGCCCAGATTCTTCTTCTGCTCTTCTTGTGTCAGAAAGCGACTCTTTAGCACCCTCTGAGGTTTCGCTGTGTATTTCTTCTGCTGTGACTCCTCTGAGATCACACTCTGCAGAGAAAACACACACGCACACACACGCACACACACACACACACACACACACACACACACACACACACATCCTTTAAATGAATATGTTCGACATCAGTGACTGTGACTGGAAACGCAACAACATGAGCGCAGGTTTCATCACAAGAATTATGGAGAAGTTAAGTCAAGAAATATTCAAATTCATTTTAATTAAATTAAATTAATTAATATAATTAAATCTGTTTGAAGTATTCCTTATACATTATACAACTAATATTATTTATAATACAATTAATGTGTTTTTAATTATTTGAATTTCAGACTGAAATGACTGGATAAGTTGATCTTTCCCGCTGAACAAAGCATCATGTTTTTGAAGCTTATTAAATGTTTTGTATGAAAAGTAACAAGTGTAGTGAAGTATTCTGTAGCAGTATAAAAGACAGTCAAGAAAAGTACAAGTACCTCAAAACAGATCATTAAGTACTTTTACTATGACCTACAGAGGGCGTACCTGAACCGGAGTGTCCAGCAGGGGGCAGTCCTGCAGCCTCTGGTCGAGCAGACACATCTCTTTGGTTGCGTAGCCGCTGACGCAGTAGGCGTCGTAGTTGACGCCGAGCAACATGCTGCAGAGCAGAGTGGCGTATTCAAAACACGTGGCTTCCTGAGTCTTTAGCACTAAGGCCGGAGAGAACAGGTGGCAGGGCTGTAACACACACACACACACACACACACACACACACACAACATGAGCGTGTTTGACCAGTCAGATGTGAAACTCCGCCTCAGATACAGTGATGAGCAGGAGCTCTTCTCACCAGGTCGACGGGTGAAGCCAGAGGCTTCAGAGACAGGAAGTTCGCCACAAACTCGGCGCAGCCCTCCCAGGTGTGGTGCTCCGGGTGTTCTGTGGCTGTGGCCCGAAGAGTCGTCGACACAAACTTCTGGATCGGACACATACACAGCGGTGTCAGACAGAGGTGTTCTACAGCACAGGGGGTCTTAAACGTGGAGGTTAAGAATGAACCAGCTGCAGTTTTACCTGAACGCCACACTCGTTGACGGGGCAGAGCAGCAGAGGTCTGCGGTCGGGACACATGTGAGAAAACTGACGCTGGAAGTTGTTGGCGAAGTTCAAGAGACGAGTCTGAGCAGCTGAGTTGATTATGTGAGACTCAGTACACGTGTTGTCGGCCATGTTCAAACCCAGACTGAAGAAGGAGAGGAAGAGTTATTATCTTTCTATCCATCTATCTATCCATCTATCTATCTATCTGTCTATCTATCTATCCATCTATCTGTCTATCTATCCATCCATCCATCTATCTATCATCCATCTATCTATCCATCTATCCATCTATTCATCTATCCATCTATCTATCATCCATCTATCCATCTATCTATCATCTATCTATCTATCTATCTATCTATCTATTCAATTCAATTCAATTCAATTCAATAAGCCTTATTGGCATGACTGTGCACCACAACATTGCCAAAGCGTTACAACACAACAACAAAACAATATAAAACAATGCATTACCTCAGCAAAACAACAAATCATACATCAACAAAATCTATCTATCTGCCTATCCGTCTGTCTACCTATCTATCTCTATATATCTATCTATTTGTCTATCTATCTACTTTGAGGCTTGTGTGTGTGTGTGGACGCTCACAGATGCTGACAAGGAGCTGACACCAGAGAGTTTCTGACTGTGTCCTCCAGCTCTCTGCCTTCCTCCTCCTCCTCCTCCTCTTCCTCCTCCTCTGTTGTTTGTAAAGTTGTTCCAGGTTCAGTCCAGTTCATAATTCACTTCACTCTTCAGGCGACAGAACAGAACATATGTGGTGTCAGTTAAATACTCACTGGATACCATGAACACTGAGTCCAGTATCGGCTCTGTGCTGTGTGCGTTTTGCCCAGTGAAGGATAGACGCTTCACTTCCTGTGTCCGTCACACCAAACCACGCCATGCCATCGATGGTAGACCACATGGTGAAAATGTCATTGATTAAAATTGTAAAACAATGCTAACTTCCTTTTGCCAGTAGGTGGCGTTATCACTATCACTACATACAGACTAATAGATCTGTTCAGGTTCAGTTTTTATGCTCGGCTTCTGTCACCATATGTGATGAGTAGGTGTGGTTTGTCGTTGCGTGACGGACACAGGAAGTGAAGCGTTTATCCTTCCCACAGTGCCCTTAACGCATGCGAAGCTCTATTCTCAGACACGTAAGCAGCTGTGTATCAGCCCTCTCTTTCTACTGAACACTAACGCTTGAACTTTTCTACACTGAGAACTTGAAACCCCATGAAAACGATCATTTTGCTACCACAGGAATCGCCTCTTGTATTTTCTCCCATAATATGATAAATATTCCTTCCTCTTTTCCACAAGGCTGAAGAGGAGCTGACTAATCTCCCCCTGAGGGAACATGTCATTAATCATGATGGAAATCATTGGACTGATGACACTGAGGAGCAGCATACACCTACCTTCCTGTTAAAGCTGTCAAAGCTCTAACGTCAATAAAATAATAATAAAAATATAAAGTTTCTTCTTCTTCTGGTTACATCAAAGACACCTTGAGGTCTTTGATGTAAACCATCTGATCTATATAAACTCAGATGAAGAATCAACAGATTCTCGGACCGATGGATGAAAGACAACGACTCTGCGTCAGCAGGAGAAACACTGATTCAATTCAACAACAGGAAGTCTTTAAAACACCCGAACCGTGAGCTTTATTAACATCCAACGACAACAACACACACGTTAGAGTCCCAGACTGAGCTCGGCCCATCAGAACCAGCGTTCCCCACACTGAACCTGACTCAGCAGTTTTTAAAGAACCTCAATCCACTGGACGGGTGGACCTCATCATGACTGATCAGTTTATCAGGTTGGAGCTAGAGGAGAACAGGGACACAGTGTGTGTGTGTGTGTGTGTGTGTGTGTGTGTGTGTGTGTGTGTGTATGTGTGTGTGTGTGTGCGTGTGTGCGTGAAACACGTTCAAACTAATACAAATAATATTATTAATAATATTCAGATTGAAAATAAAAACCTTGTACTCACAGTTGCTCTGCAGCGTTGTGACGTCTCCATGGTAACAGTGAGACGTGGTGACGTGGAGTTGCCTTCACGTACCTTCAAACAGGGGCGGAAATGATGCTTCTTAGGTGTGTGACCAGAAAACGTTTTTAAATATATGTTTCAGGCACCAAAGACATTTCTATTATATTGCATATGAGTGCGGTTTAAATGTATAAAGTAGTGAGTTCTAAACCAGTTATATGATATTCATTGTGTAATACAAAGTACCACTATATATGAAGTACTAATATACAGTAGAAAGCAGTGAACTCTCTTCGTGCCAAAG